CACCCCGCACCCCGCACCCCGCACCCCGCACCCCGCACCCCACACACCTCACATACAAACTAGAGTGCGATTACCTAATATATTCCAGTGTCGTGTGCCTCCCTCCATTTTTCTATTAGTCCCAACTAGGATGACAATCTTTTGCTTTCTTTTAACCGTTTTTATCCGTTGTTTTACAGTCCATAAACAACTCTCCCTTCAGCCATATGATGCCTACTGCTGGGTGTAGTCCTCCCCCAAAGATAGCCACGATGATTTTTTTTAATATTTTTTTATTTCTTTTTTTAAATCCTGTTATTGACTGAAATTGATTTTATGCTACCGGCTATCTATAATGTTTGTTTTAATTTTTAAAATAAATGTTTTGGCTAAACATTTCTACATCATCATCATCATCATCAACCTGCCCTTATCCCTATCGAGGGTCGGCACAGCATGTACTACTCCTCCATACATCTCTATCAGCCGTCATATCCGAGTCTACCCCCTTCTTACGCATATCCTCTTTCACACAGTCATTCCATACTTTTTTAAATGGCTAAACATTTCTACGTTGTGATGAAATTATTACTTATCATATTATTACGAAAACAAGTAATAACGTACTAAAATTATATTATACAGAGCGCCATATAAAACTTAATAAAAAGGTCGAGATATAGACAAAGCTTATCTAAGAGCCCGTAAAATTTATGTTAATGATGCCTACGAACGGGAAATAACATACAGTTAACGCAAAAGAGAAGAAAACATCCCTTGATAACGCGTCCCCGTTAAATGAAAGGGGGTTATTATCAAAGCAAACTCTGAAAGTACGAATTCCAATTTTTTCATATTGAATAATCAACAGATTATTTCAAACGTAATTGTAAATTTTGTTAACACATTTAAATAATACATAAAAAAATGCAACCTAAAGTGTTAGGTAGAGACCACTGACATGCATTTATCGCAGTCTTGACACTCCTCTCTCGTTTCAGTATAATATTCAGTGGCAACCAGCCTCGCGTCATTTAAAAATATATTAAAATCAAATAAATTATATAAAAAATAAATGCGAAGCATAATCGAGAAATATATCGATTGAGTTGAGAATAGCCGCCAAAAACCACCACAACATACAAAAAAACGCCGCTCGAAGCTACCAATTCATTTCTCTCTATATCTGGTTATCGCCGGTTTATCATACGCCTCGGGCACTCTCTTTGTACTCAACATTATTCTAGGCTTCTTAATCCCTTGATATTTGATTAAATCGCTAGTTTTGATTCGCAGCTTCGTCAGATTCTTTAGAAATGAATGTTATAAATTTTTTTTTATTCATATGTTGAAAATATTTAACGAATACTTTTTATAACTATTTCAAATAAAGCATTCCCAACAAAAAGATCTGGGGAAAGAAAAAATATAATAATTCAAAATGGCGTCTGGCCACTTAATAACTGGCTGACACCATTGGGAAATATAATTTAATATTTCTTCGCAACCGTCTTTATTTCGCTTGCAGGTTTTGCATTCGGCTATCTTTTTCCTGCATTTCCCTAGTAAGGCACCCTGCTTCCATTCTTCTGAAGCATTTGCTTGTTCGGGAGGTCCCGTGTCACGATGTTCTGGACAAAAATATTTGCGATATTGTGTATTAGGTGATTTGTGTGTACGGAATGTAGGCAAAAAGAATTTATTGCGCCACTAGATTTCCATTACATGGATAGTGGATGCGTGGAAAGGGAAAAGTAAAACAAAGATATGGTGTTATTTGCTTACATCAATGTCTTGTTTAGTTTAAATAGTTACAATAACTTAAAAGAATACGGTGACTAAACTTTCAAATTTAAAATTATTTAATCAATGATTATCTAAGTGTGCATCGGTTTAAGAATTAAGTGCATAACATCGTAAAATCAACTAATTAATAGTCGTCCCAATAAAGAGTGTTGCAAAGGCATTATTAAGGCATGCATTTATTAAGGCTCTATATCACATGCTCCGTGGTCCGCACACTGAGATCTTAGTCAGAGCCATCATGTCTTCTGTTTTTTATATACTCCGATTAAAAACAAATGGATTAATTTGTATGCGATTGTTAAAACTTCAGATGATCCGCTGTTTCTCCTTTTTTAACAATCGCGATAATATGTGATAAATAAAACAATGTTTTGAAATATAGCACTACTTTCATACATTGTGCATGTAACAAAGCCTATAAAAGCTCATATAGCATCTCCACTTACCATAAGTCAAGGCAAGAACTGTATTTACGGAGGTCGCCAGGGGGCCAGGTGTGAGTGTGATATTCTAATGTCGGCGAGAGGGACCCGCCATCCATAATAATGTACCGCCCGCCACCCTCACTTACAAACATCTACTTGTCTAAGTATGTACAACTGTATACATACGTTACGTTTGTATACTTTTGTTTCTAAGTATCTATAGATATTTGTATATTATGTTCCAACTTTGTTAATTACGTTTAGTTGTAATAGAGCATGGTAATGCCACATAATAAAAAGTTTTGTTTAATCTTAAAATAAAAAGTTTTTAAATATCTGGTTAACTACACTGTATGTTGCCAGTCACATTGGTATACGCTGTTGTTTACATAATTTTAAACTAGTTACTTTTTTAACACAACACTACCACTTTATAGTAATAAATTATTACAAACTGAGTTCGAACTGAACCAACTCTATGTTGTTGTTCCGCTGACATAGGGTCGGCTCATCGCCAGTCCTACTTGAGGGCTAAATAAATTTAAAAAATTAAATGTAATTTAAAACTTAATCATTGTTTTTGTATACCAATCAATTATAATTGTAATTAATCACAACCTGATTCGTCAGTAGTAAATACATTAAATAATTAGAATTGTACAACTAAAAAGGATTTTTTAAAATTAATAACAGCGCCATCTATAAGTTCGATCTAAAATTATATGGAAGCAATTTGTAGAATGCACGTGGCAGACATGAGCTTTATATTTTTGTCACAAGATGGCATGGAAAATCTAAAGTGTTGGAGAAATTACAAAATGTTGCCAAAAATCGTTGTTATCCTTGACTTTGTTGGGTAAACAAGGGTCACTAAGACTCCAAAAAGTAAAAAATATTTTAAATAGTCATCAATGCGAGAGTGGATTGTAATGAAAATATTGACTAGATACTTTAAGTTGTATGAATGTCGGTAATGTCGTTTCTCCGTCTTTAATCATCTAATCAGACGCAAGAAACAACATTACGACTTTATTTGCTCGACGTCTATTGCACTATTTACACTTTGATTGTAAACATTTATTTCGGGTTCTGCAGCCGTTTCCATTTTACGATTAAACAATTCACCTACTTATAAGTTAAGAATTAACTACTATTTTTGAGCTAATCTTGACGAAGCACATCAATTCACTTAAGAAATTATTTTTATAATTTAATCGTTTTACTTCTTAATTACAAGTTTTAATCACGTTATGCTATACCAGTAATGGCAATGAAACTAAATATTGTAACAACACGGCAGTTTACAATACGCCTAAATTACATCTGGCGCCTTACGGAACCTACTGTGAAAGTTGCCGTCGTGCCTGGCGTATTTTTATTAATCCTTTTGTATTTAATGTACAGTTCATTGTTAAATTATACGAAAAACAAATAGTAGTTGTCATAACAGCTATTCATAATTACGTCGCGTCTTTTTATTACAGTTAGGTAACGATAACGGACGATAACTTTAAAAAATGACCTTTGAAATACGAAAATTCAAACTTGGCTTAGGCAAACAACGCAGACTGAAATCCTTTACGCGTTTGTTTGAAGAAAGATTGAAGAGAAATCCGCTTTTATCTCAAATATCTCTCTTATTGTTGTTGGAATAGAAGCATTGATAGCACGTCTGTGTTAGTGAAGAGACAAGTCCATGTCTGATACTCGTTAAAACGATTTTGTAACATTTTAAATTAATTTGTTATAAATTGTACGGCAAAATGAGAAACTCTTCTGTGACTGTATCGCCTATATATTTTAATGTGGCAGAGTACTGTTTATTCGGAATAAACCTCGGTGTTATTATTGGTGTTATTTTGTATTTTATTGTGGTGAATAGAAAATACAATACAGTAGCCGGTTTTCTTTTCGGCGGGAAAAATATGTCAGTTATATCTATTTCGTTTGCTCTTATTGCAAGGTAAGTTATATATTTTTTTAACACACAAAATTAGCTCAACATCATTTAATTACATTTAAGTAACAAATCTATTGATATCTACCACTTCATGTTACATCTTACATTTTGTTTTTCATGAGACTTATTTCTAAATGGTTTTTACTGTTTTCATTTTTGCAGTCATTTGACAAGTATAACTTTGTTGGGTGTACCGGTTGAAATTTACCTCCGAGGCACGCAGTACTGGGCGTCAGCTCTCTCGCTTATCGGCGTCACATTTCTTACAGCTGTCATCTATTTACCAGGTAAATATTGATGCGTACACATTTAGCGTGGTTGAATCACCTCTTGCAATTATCAGTTATATATGGATTATGAATTCCTTTATTTATTTGTCATTGCGATACGAAGCATGAAATGCATCATGGTTCGTAACCTTAAGGTATCCTAATTAGATGAAAATTCTTATGTTATGTTAAATACTTGTAAGTAGGCGTAAGGCTCGTAAGGTTTTTAAATAAATTTTAACGCATTTTCAGTGTTCCATAAGCTACAATTGTCCTCTAGTTTCGAGTACCTGGAAATAAGGTTCTCCACGCATACGCGCACGATTGCTGCTGTGCTGTTTGTAATCAGCAAGATGATGTTACTGCCGATAGTTCCCTACGTACCGCTGCTTGCATTCAGATTAGGTAATGGTTTTATACAATCTTAAAAACATAGAGAGGACAACTGAATATTTTGTTTTAAATCCGTCTTTCTTGTTATTTCAGTCACCAACCCCTTTGCTGGTCGAATCACTGCAGTGATTTGCGTAGCCTGTGCGACGTTTATTGCAGTCGGAGGTCTTAGAGCTATCGTTAGCATCGGCATTGTGACTACGTTTCTCGCTTTAGCTGGCACTGCATTGCCAAGCGGGCTTGCTCTGTTGCCTATGGGATTCAAAAAAATGTGGGAAATTGCTAGTGACGGTGGGCGACTTGTACTTTATGAGTGAGTATCTTATATTAGTGGTAACATTTCATAGGTATGAATATTGTATTTACCAAAAAAAAATTAGTCCAGATCCCGAATTGGCTCATCATACGTCCTTCTTCGCTGTAACTCTCGCGCTTAGCACCAACTGGCTATGGAAGATAGCGCTCAGTCAGTCGACCCTGCAGAAGCTACTTGCCGTGCCAACTATTGGAAAGGCCAGATTATGCTTGGCAATTTCCTGTGCTGGGGTTATACTCATGAAGCTGCTATCCTGCTTCCTCGGGCTAGCGTTGTATGCTTGGTATGCCGGCTGTGATCCACTTCTTACTGGACAGATCAAAAAACATGAACAGGTATTTCATTTTAGTTAAAAAAAAATGAAGCTACTGTAAACATGCAATTATGTCGTGTTGTCAATGTCAGAAAGAAAAACTTAACTCAGATTTCCTTTACAGCTAGTACCACATTTTCTGAACAATTTAGCCGCAATGTTTCCGGGTATATGCGGTATATTTATAATTTCAATTTTCAGTGCAACAGCTGGGTAAATATCAACTTTATTTAAATTCTTTCAAAGTTTCGATTACTTTGGAAAATCATAATATTATTCTAACTAGGCTGTGTATCTTTCAGATGTATTGCCTCTCTTATAAATTCTATATCAGGAGTTCTGTTTGAGGAGTTTATCAGACCTTGGATGCCTCAAAACACAAGCGAATTAACGTGCTGCAAAATAATGAAAGTATGTATATTACTTACTTTATGTTGGAATAATATAAAAAAATTAATCATCATCACCGTCATTTTATAAATCCAATGGTCCCCAAACTATTGTGTTAAAAAATGTCAACAGCGCCATCTATTAGGAGTGTTTAGCATATAGAACATTATAAACGTCTTACAAAAGCAACGATGTCAAGATTGCATTTGAATGGTCTATATCAATTGCCATTCAATAAATCACACAAAATAATTGCCTATAATACCTACTGACATTATCTATTTTCAGGTTTTGTGCGTACTGGTTGGATTTTACTGCGCGGGTGTTGTATGGGCAGCCAAAGAATTGGATCGCCTACAACATGTTGCATCTGGTGTGACAGGTGTAACAGCTGGAACACTTTTAGGACTATTTACTCTTGGGATTGTATTTTCTAGAGCTAATTGTTCAGTAAGTTGATTTCTGTCACGAACTATTTAATTTTCTAGTAAATAATTAGCGCCATCTATGAACTCAGTTGAGTATTAATGTTGGCAGTTCGTTTTGCCATCAGTAAATGAAGTATCGTACAAATCTATTTATATTTTGTACCACTAGAGTGCAGTGTTATATATGACTATCTTTTTGGCTATTTTTTAAAACTTTGTTGAAAAGCTGTTAAAGGCAAAATACTGCAAGGTTTAGCGGACAGGTCAGCTTTTATGTCTTGATTTTGATATGATTCGAAAACATTCGTATTTTGATTATGTCGCCTCATCTAGGCATTTGCGTAATTTAGTAGAATTACCACCAACTTTAATTAAGTATTCTAATGAGATGTTAAATTCAATGCAACAGGGCGCACTGAGCGGGTGCCTGCTGAGTCTGTTGCTCTGCGGCTGGCTGCTCATCGGCGCCGACCACGCGCTTGCCACAGGGGCATTGACCTTTCAGGGCAAGCCGCTACTTACCACAGGTTGTGGTAAAGCGAATTTTACGCACATCCTAGCAAATATCACAACAATTATTCCCAACGCAGCGTGAGTATCTAATTAAACGTTATTTATAGGCAGTTAACTGTGAATTATTTACGTTATAACGCACGTCCCTGTATCGCGTAATTAAAGTGCTCGAATTAACGAGTTTTTGTTGACGACATTCCGTTTAAAAGTTACGTTTTATATATTGAGCTTAACGTGTAGTATTTATGTGCAATAAAATATCGTTAACAATGGCTTAATAGCCAATTTCAACTCTTCGAAGTTAAAACTAAATCACTTTTAAATACTCGAGTTTACATTTTACACTCAATTAATAACTTGCGAAATTCTTCATAAAAATGAAAGTTTATTAAAGCTCAATACGCACTATGTTTTAAATATAAATTATTTTCATAGTGGGACTTTAAAGTCTTCTATGGAAACCAAATAAGTGGGGAAAATTTTCTAGCTTTTATTACCTAATAACATCTTAACTAATATATTGTTTTTGTCGTGTACGGCCTACTACTCCTAATAAAATAATAATTTGTTACAGAACTCAGCTACCAGCAAAACCGTTGCAGTCTCTATTTCGTATATCATTCACGTATTGTCCATTCGCTGGTGCGATTTCTGTTCTCCTTATCGGAGTACCAATGAGTTATTTGACTGGCAAATCAAAAACTGATTCAATGAACCCAGACGTCTTTTGTCCACTCACTCAGAGTTTTCTACACAAGTCAATGTCAAGGAGTCCTTCAGAATCCATAGAAATGAGAGCCCCGGACACACAAGAAGTTTATATGGCGTTAGACGAGGCTCTAAAGCATTTAAAAGAAGTTATAGAAAGATAGTATTAAATGTTAACATTTTTTTATTTTGTTTTTAAATTAGTCTCTTTCATCACCTATTTATAGATGGCTTATGGTATAATACATTGAGGAGAGAAAATTAAATTGGATTTTTTTAATTTTACGTAACAGAGTTTCTCACGACCGTGTAACGAATTTCAAAGTAGTTCCGACGAAGTTCACAAAATGTGACGGGTATTTTTATGAACTTTGATTAGTAACCTAATTGAATGTGTTAGGTACACTGAGGTAATGCTCGAAAATATAATGTGCCACATTACAAGCTGTATTCAACTCGGTATTCCTAGATTTTTTTTAAGTTTTATAATTAAAATATTCTATACTAAACGAACATTGAAAAAATTTAGAGTTAAATAACGTTTTATTATACCAATTTTCTTAATCGTACTTAACAAATACCGTATAATTAACGATTGATTTGACAACGACTCTACGTCGAAGTTCTCCTTTGCAATGCAAATTCTAATTGCAGAGTCTAGTTATGACCGCCAGATGGCATTCCGAGAGGAACCGATCGACTGAATGTTCTCGTATGCTAAGTTAGAGTTCAAAATTCTCTCTATCAGTCTACTCTGTAGGAATTTAGTTCGTCTTATACTAGTTCAAATAATATGAGCTTCAAGAGGAAGTTTATTTGAAAGTATTTATTTTGCAAAATACGCTAATTAGACATTGTTAAAAATTGTTTTAGCCCCTTACTAATATTTTAGGGAGCGTTCTACAAGGCACAATAACATAGACAACCCACGAAAGATATTCGGATCGTTTTTTACTCAAGTTTTAATTTGTCGCATTTCGTGTGAAAAAATATTAATTTTAATAATATAATCTATTTTGTACGTCAGAAATATGCAAAGGGGTTGTCATGAGCTTAACAACATTCTCCAAAGACAAAGGAAGAATGTCGGTTAAGCTAGGATTTGTAGAGCTACTTTAATTTAGGTTCTTTAAAACGGTATGACAATTTAAATATTACTTTTTTTCTTCAAAATATTTATATGCTTAAGTCGATAAGGTTCTTAAATATTTGAAACAAGCAAATCTTTGTCTCAAATCTTATACTATTTTAAAAACTAAACCTTGGTCTAAAATTAGAAATAAAATGTACTCATACAAGCAAAGTATTCAAATATATTGTTACAATGGTATATCTAGAACTGATATTTATAAAGTGATTTCCATATGAATGAATCTGTATTCGTGATTGCGCCATTAGGCATATTGTCGTCGTAGCGTCCATTTTGGAACTATTAGCACAAATTGGCGCTGCAGGCGAAATGATCGTTCCGATGACAAGCATATAACCATGTCCTGTACACAATTCATGTCGGGATAAATACAGACGAAATTGCCGAAATACAGATTATAAATATTAACAAAGTAACGCATAATATATTTTTGGTCCAAAATCTTAAAACCAATCGATTAAAGATTATTAATATTTTCCCTAATTTATTATTATTTTTATATTAATATTAGCTATCGCCCGCGACTTCGTCTGCGCGGAATTAAAAAAAAGTTAGTAGCCTATGTGGTCTTCCAGACTATGTTCTATACATATGACAAATTTCATTAAGATCCGTTGAGCCGTTCGGAAATACTTTTAAACAAACAAACATCCATCTAAACATTCGTATTTATAATATTAGTACGATTATACCATGTCTGTCTTAGTGTATCCTTATATAGTATTGTGTTATATAAAATTGACCACATGATATTTAATTCCTAACATATAATTGAGTTTAATAAAACAAGGTCGATATCAGGTCGTAATGATCAGAGCATTGCCACAACCGCAATTAATTTAATGCTGCCATATAGATGGTAATGGACGTGTGACGTGGCTTAATTGCGGTATTAGACATGTTGTAGTATTGGCTCTTGCCATTTCGGTGCCATTATGTTAAATGGCCATTGGATACATTTAAATATAAGAAAACTTATGTGCCTACTTTTATACACAGCAGTAATCTAAAACCAGACGTTTCGTCTATTTATCTGTAGTAGTTGTACTTGTTTGTTATTGTGTTGAAGCTAGGAGTTACAACAACTCATGAATCTTACTAATATTATAAATGCGAATGTTTAGATGGATGGATGTTTGTTTGAAGGTATTTCCAGAACAACTGAATGGATCTCAACGAAATTTAGCATACAAGTAGAACATAGCCTGGAAGAACAAAAAGGCTTCTAATTATAAT